ACTCACATTCATGTATGTATATTTTCAATCCTCGTGTCCTCACCCATGTCAATATTAAAAACAGAAACAAAGGCCACACTAATTCCACGACCACTCGGACCTATTAAAATTAAAACTAGTTTAAAACAAAGAAATATGTTGTGCCAAGCACAAACACCTCATAAACATCTTTAACTTTGTAAAGATGTAAAATAACATTTCATCAATAAACCAATATCATTTCAAAAGAAGTTACTTAAAAGATAAAAAACTACTTACAGTAAGGTTGTTACAATCAGATATTACATTTTGTCCAGGTTAATTACCTATATCATTAAGTTTAATTATTAATCAATTACATTTTTTACTGTTTAGTAATTAATATCTACTAACCATGACAGCAAAAGACAAAAATCTTTTCAACTTGGTACTTCAAAAGTCAAGAAGCAATGAAAAAATATTTCTTCTTTCAGAAGCAGTTTATTAACTTCTATGAATATTTAAAGTCTTCTACTGAGGCCACTTTCAAAATGAGCCATCAGTTTAACAAATCACTTGAGGGACAGAGATTTTGCAGAATTTCTTATTAGTAATGCAGACTGCAAGATCAAATGGTGGAATATACAACTTATACACTGTTTATCCCTAGAGAAGTGCCAACAGTACAGACTGCAAAATCACTTGGAGTAATAAACAGTTTAAACATTCTTGACTTATGATCCATAGATTAGTAATAATAGTACATGATGATGGATCAAAAAACATTTTCACATAAATTTCTGTGGTTTTTATGTAGTATTCTTGGATCGACATCCAAGGTCTAGTCGCTGATGTAATGTAATAGGTTCAGTTTTTAGCTCTGCTGTGAGAATCATAATTCAATCCCTTGATTATTTACACATTTAAAAACCTGTATTAGAAATAAATTTATCCTTACAGTATACATATATGTTTTCTCATAACAGGAAAATCAAATGCTGCTTACCTTTTGCCTCTTGTGGAGTGTAAAATTCTTCCAAAGTAGCAGATAAATTTGATTCCTTAACCCCATACTTCTACTATGGCAAAAAAAAAATATATATATGTTAGCTCATTCAACATTTTCTAATCTAAAACAAAACATCTAAACACAATTTTCTTCTTTTGACACAATTAAGCCTTATCAAAAATTGAACATTACACTTTTTTGTGAAAGAACTGTAGGGGGTAATGAATACAATCACCAAATAATTCTAAAAATTGTAATCCAAAGGACTAAAGAACAATGCAAGCAAATCATACACATGAAATCCTGGCATTAACAAGTTGAAACGTTTTACATATAAGTTGACAAACAAATTAAAGTAACTTTTACTATAAGTCTTCCTTCTGTAATAATGGTAATGCATACTTATTCTGGTTTTAAACCAAGATTCTGATACTTTCCCTAACTGTTAGTATTACCATCATTTGCAAATGTCTGAAGAGCTACTATATTAATACAGGTAGATAGACAGAAAAATAAACACAAAGACAGCCAGAAAGATCAGCAAATAAACAGGTAAATAGAACAGCTGCAAGAGACTCAGAAAGACAGGAACAAGCATGTAGTCAGAAATAGAGAGAGAACTATAAAAATAGGCACATGGAAGAAAGATAAAAGGAGGTTTAAGCAAAGCTGTATCTTCTATACTTCTTTAAATGATTAACATTTCAGGTATGATAACACTAATGAATTCCAGAATGTATTGAAGACATTAAAATACAATGTTGATACTTACACAAAACACTTAAGCATTTGAACTAAATTTAACATATATGTTATAACTAACATATATTTTCCATCTTGACATATTGAAAACCTTGAATACTAGATAAACCTCACTGGGTCACTGCACAAGTTTAACTGTAATAAGATCAACCTCACTTGGTCACTGCACAAGTTTAACTGTAATAAGATCAACCTCACTGGGTCACTGCACAAGTTTAACTGTAATAAGATAAACCTCACCGGGTCACTGCACAAGTTTAACTGTAATAAGATCAACCTCACTGGGTCACTGCACAAGTTTAACTGTAATAAGATCAACCTCACTGGGTCACTGCACAAGTTTAACTGTAATAAGATCAACCTCACTGGGTCACTGCACAAGTTTAACTGTAATAAAGTCCAAATAAAAAATCACCCATCATATTCATACAATCACTAGCCCTAATTTTTCATTTCTGTTTGAGTATTATGGAACTAAAAGAATTCAGAAAATAATGTTTCTCAATTGTTAGTACATATTAACTTCATTACAGCTAGGAAAAACCTACAATCTCAAAAAATTGCATTAAAATTCCTCAGATTGTAAAAAAAAAGAGCTGATGAAGGCAGATGTTATGATACCCATATCATGAATTACATTCCATCAGATTGTACTACAGAAAAAACTGATGAAATCAGATGTCATGATATCTAGATCATGAATTACATTCCATCAGATTGTACTACAGAAAAAACCCGATGAAGGCAGATGTTATGATACCCAGCTCATGAATTACATTCCATCAGATTGTACTACAGAAAAAAACTGAT